GTAGCAGTTCTCACGAACTTGCTTGAGCTACTAACCATCTCAGATAGACATGAGAATAGATAAGGGAAATGGCATCGGCATCCGCAAGGATAACTTGAACCGATTGTCATTTCATAGATAAGAAAAAATATATGTATTGTGCATCATTTCCACTAATCACGATCAGCAACGTCAACAAGGCAAAAGAATAGCCTTGGACCATGACACAACAAATCCTATACATGTAGATTTGACTTAACAGTGTTCTGTTGAACTGCGTGGAAGAGTGTGTGAAATGATTGCGTGTATGTTTACTCATCACAGCAACATTGCGGGTAAAAGAGATAACCTGCAATTATGCACAACAAATCATATAATTGAAGATTTGACTTTACAGTGCCTGATTGCGTGAATGAGTGTGTGTATGTAATTATGAGTGTGAAGAGAAAGCGAGCTCACACGAAGATGGATCACAAACACGAATTTAACGTTCATCTTAGCAAATGTTATGATCATTACTATGTCAATACAACAATTATTTCAATTACCCCAAGAATTCAACATTAAAATGAAATGCGACTTAACGTACGCAAAATGAATGGTGACATGAAATTTCTTTTGCAAGCTTCCGCAATGCAAGCATCCCAGTTCAGAAATGTTTCTTATGCTATCCCCGATTATTTAATCGTACTTACGGATGCAACAAAATCTGATACACTGAGGAAATAATATCTCGCATACGCATGTGAGAGCTAGTTTTCATCGACAGAGGGTCCCTTATGCCCAAATTATCTGAACGAATGAAGTGACTATATGAGACTTCGAATTTTATCGTTAGTCTTACTCTACAATCTGTGAATGGCGCACGCAGATATCAACTACGAATCACACGATTGTCGGAATTTTCCGGACATGCCAGCGGTAAAGAAGGTTGAGAAGGTGTTTTACTAAGCGAATTAATTCCAGCTTAAACCCTAGTCCCTTTATAATCAGACGTTAATACAGGTCACACCGACTCAATATGCCGAACGAATGAGTCATGCTTCGGTTTTCTACCTACTCTCAAACGTCGGGTGCGCAAATCTATTATTCATTACGAAACCCCATGCATTATTGCACTATGAAAGGGAAGATTTTTACGCTTTATTCATTAAAATGAATTTAGAATTATTTGCGATCAAGCTATTAATCTTTGCACCGAAGAATTGTCACCGAAATAGCGTTGAAGGCCTAATTACAGGTCCCTGCCCTCCACGACCGGGATGAAAGGGAGGTGAGGTCAGCCGGGGTGGGGGGTGTGGGTTAACTGTTTACTACAAAGAATTAAATGATATGCGCGTTCGTGAGTGCGAATACTGAAATCAGTAAAAGAATGAAATGAACCAAGATTTCAACAATGAGCGAAATTCAACAATCAATTAACGAAATACGTATAAGAGAGAGGAATACACAGAATTCGTAAAAATGATCGCGAATTATAAGAAGAAAATTCTCAGCTTGAGAGAAAATCACGAACTTGAGTTGAATTTTGTTG